CCCACCAAGTTTCTGTGATCCCCACCAGGTCATACCCTCCTATTCCCAGGAGAGCTTCAAGCTCTTCCTGCTTATTACCCATGCTCCTAGCATTGGTGTACATGCACCTCAACTCCTTCCCACCACTTCCTTTCCTTGGAGTTCCCAGCCTCCTCCTTCCTCCCATCCTCCCTGATACCTGGCCCCTCTCTGTAGGAGTCCTGTCAGTCCCTGCAGTATCTCTAAAACCCTGCTCCTAGAGTCCTGATCCTCCCCCCACACTTGTCCAGTGTAGACCCGTTACTGGGGGGCCTGAACCCCCCCCCGGCTCAGTTTAAAGTCTTCCGGGCGAAGCTTGCTAGAGCATCTCCAAAGGACCTTTTCCCCATCCTCGTGAGGTGTAACCCGTCCCTTGCCAGAAGTCCATTGGCAAGAAAACGAGTGCCATGGTCAAGGAACCCGAAGCGTTCCTTCTGGCACCACACCCTAAGCCAGTCGTTCACCTTGGAAGCCCTCCTGTCCATTTCTGGCCCAAATCCTCCGACAGGTAAGATTGAGGAGAAGGCCACTTGGGCCTTCAGCTCCCTGAGTTTCTTCCCCAAGGCCTCAAAGTCCCTGGTGGTCCCAACCACACCCTGCCTGGTCACATCGTTTGTGCCCACATGGATCACCAGGAGCGGCTGGTGACCCCCGGAGTGAACAAGAATCTCCACTCTGTCCTTCACATGCCGGATGCGTGCACCCGGCAGGCAGCAAACCTCCCTTGTCTCCAGGTTGGGACGGCACACTGCCGCCTCAGTGCCCCTCAGCAGGGAGTCCCCAACAACAATCACCCGCCGCTGTACCTTTCCGGTGCTGGTGGGTGGCCGTGCCCTGGCCCTCGCCTCTCCCGCAGCAGCCCCCTTGCCGCCTGACGTCCCAGGCTGGGGTCCTGCTGGTCCCCCGAGGCCTCATCAGCCCCAGCCTCCAGGAGTGGAGAGAACCTGTTTCCCAGCTCCAGATTGGTGCCAGGAGAAGGAGGAGGCCGTGCTGGCCTTCTCCTCCTGTGGGTGACATACCTCCATGTCTCCGCAGCTGCTCCTCCCATGGTCTCTCCATCAACCCTCTGTCCAGAGGGGAGCTCCTCCGGGGGAGCCTGGAGAGCTCTCTCGGCCCTCAGGCACCTCACCTCCTCTTCTAGCAGGGTCACCATCTTGCAACGAGGGCAAGTGAATCCCTGCCTCTCCTGGGGGAGAAGGGCGAACATGTCGCAGCTGTCGCAGCGGACAGCAACACCCGTGACTCCCGCCAAGGCCATCTCCTGGTCTGCCATCGGTATCCCTTCCGAGACCTTACCTTGGTCCCCTGCCTTGTTTCTCCTGCAGTTCCTCTCACTCGCTCCGTTCTCCCAGACAAAAACCCACTCACACACACAAGGATAAAATAAACTTAAATTAGAAGAAAAACAAAGCACAGCACAGCACAAACAAAAACAAACAAACAAACCTCTGTGTCTCAGGGAAGGGAGTCTCCGGACAGCCCGGGCTGCAGCCAAGGGACACAGACAAGGGACGACGCCCTTCCTCTCTGCTGCTCCTGGGCCTCTGCTCCCCTGCCCAGCTCCTACCTTGCCTTCGCCAGTCCCCTGGCCACTCAGCACTCTCTCCCAGCCTGTGCCTCTGCTGCTCTGCCAAGAGGCCAGAGCCAAAAGGGCTTGCAGTGGCTGAGCGTGGCCTTATCAGTCCCTCAGGCTGGTGGGGCCAGAGGACCATCAGGTTCATCCCCTTGCTATTGCAGGACACTGAGTTACACCATCCCACTCAGATGGCTGTCCAGATGCTTTTTTGAGGATCTGTAGTGAGGGAGAGCTCACAAGGTTGTAGGGCCTTGAGTGCTGCTGGTTAGACAGAGAAACTCTAGGATCATTTCTCTCTCCTGCCCCAATTTTGCTGGGAGCCTTCTCAGTTCCTGGAGTGCTAATATCTTCTAAAATGAAACAAAACAGACGAGAATCACAAGGAAGAGGAGTGCAGAATAAATATTTAAAAGAACAGCTGTTGGAGGCCAATCTCCCCTTGTTAGTTCCACACTGAATCCCCCTCCTTGCTTCCCAACCAAGAGGAGTTAGCACCAACATCAGGATGGTTCCTACTGCTTTGTGGACCAGATGGCAGGAATGTCGGATTGGTTTGCCCTTTTGCTGGACTGTTGAACTGGTCAAGTTACATCTGCTCCCATCAGACCTTCCCTGTGCAGCCAAGTTCTTCTGTGAAAAAGTTTTTGCTAGTCTCTTGGCTTACCAGTAGGTCAGTTGGCCTTGACCTTTTGGCCAAGAATTCTAATCCCATCTGTTCTTCCAGCTCTGATTCAGATTTTGAGATATCAACCTTGGAATGCAGTATTTTGGGAGAAGAAGCCTAGTTCCCACAACTGAGAAATAGTGAAACAATTTTTTAAAAATTAAAACTTGAACACTCCATTGATACACTTCTGCTCCTCAGGTAACCTTGTGTGCGCACACCCCACTCTAGGAATGGGTTATACGCAGTCCCTAAAATGTAAATCTCCCTGTAAATCTCTTGTTGGGACCGAGAGAATTTTGACTTAGTTTTATCAAACAACATTCTAGCTGTCACGGATGTTTGTAAATCTATCAAAGTACTAGGACCAAGGAAAGAAATGGAAATTTCTGAACACCCCTGATATTTCAGACCTTGTTAAGGGCTTGTTTATGCTTTAACTTTTTATGGAGAACTTGTTTTACAATAGGTGTGATGTTGTTTGCCACCTGGCCAAGGAACTGGTTGGTCAGGTAAAAACTACGAGAATTTTAATGTGTGTGCTGGCTTCTCAAATAAGATTGACAAATAAGATTTGCTTCTGAGAAACTAACTTGCTTGGTTCTCTTGTGGATGGTGAGTTGAAATATGTTTTCTCTGGGTCTTTCTTTGGTACCCCAGAGGAAGACTGAAAGCACATACTCTCAGGTGGTGTAAAATCAAACTGCTTTGCTTATATGAATTCTTTGGAATGGAGGTGGTGGTGAACCCTGATTTGTACACACTGATTAAACTGATGCAAATTCATAAAATGACTCATACTAGCACTGGGCAACAGATCTCATGCTGGGGTTGTGGTGGATGCAAAGTAACCTGGAGAGGACCTTGGCTCAGTAGAGTTGCTCAGGCAGAAGATCTCCAATTTGATTGCTGGTATCTCCCATGGAATAGGCCAGGCAATAGTTAATGGTGCAAACTTCCGCCTGAGATCCCAGAAAATTGCCACTAGTTGGTGCAGACTAATACTGAACTTTATGATAAAAGGCAATTTCTGATGTTTTGAATCCAATCGTCTCTTCCTTCCCCAAATGTCCCTGCAGGAGCCCTCTTCAAGCAGTGAACCAATTCATCTGCCCAAGGCCCGGGTCCTAGATAAGCTGCAGCAGCCGCAGCTGCCACCACTGGAGCCACCACCGCAGCCACCACCTCTGAAGTTAAAGAATGAACCTGAGAGAGCTGGCTCTGTTGTGTCCGAGGAGCCCATGAAGGAGTTCTCCGTCCTGCCACACCATGTGAAAGAGGAGCTAGAGGTCCCTTGCCACCCCACGCCACCTCCCCACGTTCCGGCGAAGGTGAGTGAGAATCCTTCCTTCCAACCATGTTTGCAGCTGCTCCTCCAACACTTCCAGAGACCTGCTTTTGCAGTTTAAGTGTCAACGTGTGGTTACTTTGAAAAAACAAACCATTAATCTGTTTTGTTTTGCCTTTCATTCTATATTTGGCCACCATTCAATAACCCCTGGAACGTAACAATGAAGAACTGTGCAAATGATTGGAAAGAACAGCTATAACCAGTAATGAAAACAGCCTAACGTCTCAACTCATCTGAGGGCTTTTCTGAATGAAATAGTTTTGATTAGGCTTCTAAAGACAATTAAGGAACAGGCCTGGTGAACTTTGCTTAGGAAGGAAGAACATGCAACTGATGCCAGCACCTAGAAAAGCACCGCTACTTGTTGCCACAGTCTTTACTCTCTTTAAATGTGTCCTAAGGAAGCCTTCGTTGCAGAGATGCCTTACCTCCATAGCCATTGGAGATCTCTGTTTAATTGAATTTCTTCATTTCACCACACTCTTTTGCTGGAATTCCAGTGTGTATGTGGCTGTTGACATGTTTGTTTAACCTTTTCTTGGTTAGCCCATGTGACACCACGATGGGTGTTAGGTTTTTTTAAAGCTGCTTTCTGCTGCGAATGCTTCTGGCTGTACTGCATAAGTGTCCATGTAAATTCCCCCACTAAAATAGGGACAAGAAAACAGGAGTCCACAGGCCACAGACTGCCCCCGGACAATTTTTTCTAGACCCCAGTGGGTGCAAGTTATAGAGATTGCATTTTTAAATGTCCTCCTTTATGGTGTCCCTGCATCAGGCATGAATTCTGCCCCTGCTCAGAGCTTGGTTTGGAGTGTTCTGGGTTGAGCAGAGCTTTGGTGGCAAACTCGGCACTTTGTGTCTGCTTTTCCCGCTCATTTCCTCCAACTGTGGCAGGATTGTTTTGGTGCCTAGTCTGTCTCTTCTCTCATTGAAGAGATTGAGCTGAATTTTTCTAACTTAATTTTATTGCTTTGTTATCCAGCAAGGGCAGGTGTTACTCTTTTTCTTCTGCATCTTCTTTCCTGCTCTGTTTTGTGCTTGATTTATTTGGTGTTGTTGACCTAGACTGCACCTTTGGGCACCTCAGGGCACATGGCCTTGAAGGGCCCTTTTTGACTTTAAGCACCAGCAGCAAGCCCCCCCCCCCCACCCCCAAAAGCATACCTTGTGTTTATTATGCCTGGGAAAGAGCCATATAACTAACACATGATTGCATTGCCAGAACACATGTGCATGGGGGCGGGTAGGGATGGAAATATTTAATAATACTGATTTTTAAAATTGACTTTAAACATACAAATCCTGTCATATTCAAAATCTGATAAGATTGGTACTGTGACTAGCCTACTTTATAATTAGTGTATTTCATATCATTTTTAAAGTTCGGTCATTTAGGCTGGCTTGTCAACTTTTCTATAAATTACACAAGTTGGTTTTGGTTCAGCCTCATTTTCATAGTAAGTAAAACAGTCTTCCCCAGCAAGGGGCTCTCCAGATGGTTGAACTACAACTCCCAGCAGGCCTCTGCCAGCTATACTGTCTGGAAGAAGGCTAGTGTAAAAATCACCATATTGCATAGAAGTTCTCATCATTGGTTGTTGTATATACGGCACCAAATGTATTATGGACTTCAGTGTTTCTGAACACTGTTCAAAGATGAGAACACCCAGAGTGGGCCATCCCTTCTTTAAAAGGGGGAAGAGTGACAACTGGAGTCCTGGATCTGGCCCTCACTAAAGTGTGCATCACCTGTTTTTCAAATATAAGAGACTGACAGGCGGGGGAGGATCTCAAACAGTAGAATGAGGTTCCCCATCCCACCAAGAATTTCCTCTGTGCCCTCTATAGGGGTATGCATATTTTTGTTAAATCAATTCAGTCTGTGTTTTGTGGACTCTCGGGCCTTTGTTCATTCTGTCACCTACTCATGGACAGAATCTGTTTTGTTTTGATTGCACTAATCTCATTAGCACAAGTGCACATTGGTGCTGTTGGATGTGTATTAGCATTAATGCAAATTAGCACAAATGTCTCCCCCTCCCCCCATGAAAAGCTAGTCTGCAAGTCCACAGAATCCATGTGACTTGGAAAAAGCCAGTCCACAGCTGCAGTATTTACTGGTCAGGCTCATAGAAATCCGAATTCATTTGACTCCATTGCAGATTTCTTCAGTGTCCTTAGATTGATTAAAGCTCCTGATGATGATGATACAGCCAATGTAACAAGAGTGTTCCTGAGCAGTAGGAACAAATAAATGTATGCATGTGTGTGTGTTTATTTATCGGTGTGGTGGTGATTGTGGAAGCACTCCGATGTCCCATGGCTTCTTAAACAACTAGGACTCCAGTATTCCTGTCTAACTTGCCTTCACAGGAGTCAGACACCCGATTCCCTGCTGTCAACCTCCTTATTGCCACCTCTCCCAAAATCAAACAGGAGCATGGAGAACCAGGCGGGGACTGTCGGCCAGCCAATGACTCTCCAGTAAGTGCCTGCATAGGAAATGACTCCTTCTCAGTCATTTCCTCAGGTGGTTTTTTTCTGGACAATTTGAAAATTAGGATAGTGGAATCAGAAAGTTCCTGAACAGAGTTGTTATGTGACAGACCCAAAACGACTGATCTGTAGGAGTGTTATAGAATTGACTTTCTTAAAGAAAAAAAAGGAGTGAAGGCAGTTGTATAAACATCCTGAGCACAACTGGTCCACCGTTCCTTTTCCTGCACCATACCTAGTCTGCTTCCTGTAATATTAGACATTTCCACAAAATGCTTGCTTAATTTCTTCTGTGTACTCCCAGTGAAGAAAAATTCATAGCTTTGTTCTTGTTTTTCAAGTGGCTGCAATCATTAGTTAAGCACAATGTTTACGTCCTGCTAAGTCTTATTAACATGCATCTTTCGTTTTGAGGCAATAGCTGCAGAAGTAGCTATCGTATTTTTCTGTCTATAAGATGCCCCCATGTATAGAATGCCCCCTACTTTTCCTACCGATCTCCAGTGAGCAAGCTGTTGCTGCGCATGTGCTGGCTCGCCCCCCCCCCGTCCCCTTGCCCGTTGCCCCCGTTCCCCCCCCCCCCCACCCCCCCCCTTCCTTCCCCCCTTGCCCCCCCCCCCCGGTGTATAAGATCCACCTCCATTTTTAGGTAAATGTTTTTAAGAAAAAGTTGTGTCTTATATGTGGAAAAATACAGTACTTTCAATGGATGATAACAGAAGTGTCATGAATGGGTTACCTAATCATAAATTTGCTGCATCTCATGAACTCCCGTCCTTTCTTTTATGTCAGTTTAGCCCAATGGTTTGCATCCTCTTCATGGAAGGCATGTAGATATTAAAAGATTAATTGGACTAGATACAATATTACTCTGTAGAAAAATGACACAAGTTGGCATTGTTCTGTTATGCTAGCACACGTTTGCTAAATTTCTTTCCACCTGAAGACTGAATTCCCTTTTGGAGAAGGGATAAGATTCCAGTGGTGGATGGGGTCAAAAATGCCAGGATATTTTAGTTTAACCCTTTAAAGCACCACAACTTTCCTTCTGACTTTTTAGCATTTTGTGTGTCATAAAGCACTTCCTCCATGCCTTGGGTGTCTCCAGATTGTCCATTGTTGGCCCCAAGTCTAAAATGTGTTTTTGATGGATGCTGGCATCCCCCTGTAGCAGTTTGAAGGGGTTTTGTTGTTGTTGTTAGTCGCGAGGTCGTGTCCGACCCATCATGACCCCATGGACAACATTCCTCCAGGCCTTCCTGTCCTCCACCATCCCCTGGAGTCCACTTAAGTCCACCAACTGTTTCAGTGACACCATCTAGCCACCTCATTCTCTCCCATCCCCTTTTTCTTTTGCCATCTATTGTTCCCAGCATTAGGCTCTTCTCCAGAGAGTCCTTCCTTCTCATTAGGTGGCCAAAGTATTTGAGTTTCATCTTCAGTATCTGGCCTTCTAAAGGACAGTCAGGGTTGATCTCCTCTAGGACTGACCAGTTTGATTGCCTTGCAGTCCAAGGGACTCGCAAGGGTCTCCTCCAGCACCACAATTCAAAGGCCTCAATCCTTCAGTGCTCAGCCTTCCTTATGGTCCAGCCATACATTGCAACTGGGAAAACCATAGCCTTGATCATAAGCACTTTTGTCAGCAGGGTGATATCTCTGCTTTTTAGTATGCTGTCTAGATTTGCCATAGCTTTCCTCCCCAGGAGCAAGCATCTTTTAATTCCTTGGCTGCAGCCCCCGTCTGTGGTGACCTTGGAGCCCAGGAAAATAAAATCTGTCACTACCTCCATTTCTTCCCCATCTATTCGCCAGGAAGTGAGAAGACCAGATGCCATGATCTTAGTTTTCTTAATGGTGAATTTCAAGCGAACTTTTGCACTCTCCTCCTTCAGCCACATCGAGAGGCTCTTTAGTTCCTCTTCACTTTCTGCCATTAGAATGGTATCATCTGCATATCTGAGGTTGTTGATATTTCTCCCAGCAATCTTAATTCCAACTGGAGATTCATCTAGCCCTGCCTTTCTCATGATGTGCTCTGCATATAAGTTAAATAGGCAGGGCGACAGTATACAGCCTTGCTGAACTCCTTTCTCAATTTTGAACCAATCAGTGGTTCCGTGTCCAGTTCTCACTGTTGCTTCTTGACCCGGATACAGGTTTCTCAAGAGACAAATAAGATGGTCTGGTACTTCCATCTCCTTAAGAACTTGCCACAATTTGTTGTGATCCATACAATCAAAGGCTTTAGCATAGTCAATGAAGCAGAAGTAGATGTTTTTCTGGAATTCCCTAGCTTTCTCCATGATCCAGCGTATGTTGGCAATTTGATCTCTAGTTCATCTCCCTCTTTGAATTCCTGCCTGTACTTCTGGTAGTTCTCGGTACAGAACTACCAGAGCCTAGCTTGTAGGATTTTGAGCATAACTTTGCTAGCATGTGAAATGAGTGCAATGGTGTGGTAGTTTGAACATTCTTTGGCATTGCACCTCTCTTGGATCGGAATGTAAACTGCAATTTTCCAATCCTGTGGCCACTGTTGAGTTTTCCAAATTTGCTGGCATATTGAGTGTAGCACTTTTACTGCATCATCTTGTAAGATTTTGAATAGTTCAGCTGGAATACCATCACCTCCACTAGGTTTGTTGTTGCTCAGACTTCCTAAGGCCCATTTGACTTCACATTCCAGGATGTCTGGCTTGAGGTCAGTGACCACCACATCGTGGTTATCAGGGACATTAAGCTCTTTCTTGTATAGTTCCTCTGTGTAATCCTGCCACCTCTTCTTAATCTCTTCTGCCTCTGTTGGGCCCCTGCCATTTTGGTCCTTTATCATGCCCATCTTTGCATGAAAGGTTCCCTTCATATCTCCAATTTTCTTGAAGAGATCTCTGGTCCTCCCTATTCTATTGTTTTCTTCTGTTTCTTTGCACTGTTCATTTAAGAAGGCATTCTTATCTCTTCTAGCTATTCTCTGGAATTCTGCATTCAATTGGGTGTATCTTTCTCCCTTGCCTTTCACTTCCTTTCTTTCCTCAGCTATTTGTAAAGCTTCCTCAGACAGCCATTTTGCTTTCTTGCATTTCTTTTTCTTTGGGATGGGTTTAGTTGTTACCTCTTGTGCAATGTTGTGAACCTTCGTCCATAGTTCTTCAGGCACTCTGTCTATCAGATCTAATTCCTTAAATCTATTTGTCACCTCTACTGTATATTCATCAGGAATATGATTTAGGTCATATCTGAGTGGCCTAGTGCTTTTCCCTACTTTCTTCAATTTAAGCCTACATTTTGCAACGAGAAGCTCATGATCTGAGCCACAGTCGGCTCCTGGTCTAGTTTTTACTGACTGTATAGAGCTTCTCCATCTATGGCTTCAGAGCACATAGTCAGTGTGATTTCTGTGTTGACCATCTGGTGATGTCCATGTGTAGAGTCGTCTCTTGGGTTGTTGGAAAAGAGTGTTTGCTATGACCATTGTATTCTCTTGACATAATAGAGAACTGCTCCCAGTACTGCTTTTCCTACTCTTTTATTGACTATGAAGGCTACTCCATTTCTTCTGAGGGATTCTTGCCCGCTGTAATATACCTGATGGTCATCTGAATTAAATTCACCCATTCCTGTCCATTTTAGTTCACTGATTCCTAAGATGTCGATGTTCAGTCTTCTCATTTCTTGTTTCACCACATCCAGCTTGCCTTGCTTCATGGATCTTTCATTCCAGGTTCCTATGGAGTATAGATCTTTGCAGCATCAAACTTTTCTTTCACCACCAGATATATCTGCAACTGAGTATCCTTTCGGCTTTGACCCAGTCAATTTATTCTCTCTGGTGCTACTAGTACTAGCCCTCTGCTCTTCCCCAGTAGCATATTGGACACCTTCTGCCTGAGGGACTCATCTTCCGGCATCATATCTTTTTTCCTTTTGGTACTGTCCATGGGGTTTTCATGGCAAAGATGCTGGCGTGGGTTGCCATTTCCTTCTCCAGTGGATCACGTTTTGTCAGAGCTCTCTGCTATAACCTTTCTGTCTTGGGTGGCCGAGCACAGCATACCTCATAGATTCATTGAGATACACAAGCCCCTTCGCCACGACAAGGCAGTGTTCCATGAAGGAGTGAAGGGGTTTGTAGCTCATTTTAATTTCCACTCTTCACTTACATTTTAATTATTCCTTCTAAGCAAATGTAAACCTCCCTTGTGACTTCCAGTGTAGTGCTGTCTATGTTGACTTAGATGTAAATCACACTGTGGGCCCCACTTCCTAGTAGGTGTGTTTAGCATTGCAGATGCAGAAACTAGAACTTGGGTAGTCTTGCCTCCCCTCCCCTCCATCTTGTAATCTTATGTGTGGGGATCCACTCTTCTCCTCTCAGCAGACTTGTCCGAAAAGGGGCTGGGATGCCTAGAAGCCAAACTGATCCTCCTGTCTCTATGTTGCCTCAGGTGTCAGCTGGGCTTCCTCAGTTTAAGAGGGCACGGGGGACACAGGGCACAGAGGTGGTGGTTCTGGATGATGAAGAGGATGATGAAGTGGAACAGCTGCAGCAAATGCGCCCCCCAGTGGTGAGTGGTGAAGCTCTTTGGGTCAAGTGTCTCAGGAACTGGAAATCCTTGGGTTTTGTCTTTGTAATGCTGGGAGAAGATTAAAACCTGCCCAAATTCTTGGGGTGAGCAAGAGCAGTGGGCAGGAGGAAGCAGTGGTGGAGCTTATGCTAAGGCCTGAATGGTGGGTGGGTTCCAGTTGGGTTCTGTGTGTCTTGCTCATATAATCAAGCACTGTGTGTCACAGAGCAGGCCTTTTATAAACTGGAGGTTTTTTATTTAAGGTTATGGGTTCAGTCCAGTGTTGCTAGTCATGTAGTTTGATCTGGGCACACCTGGAATTGCCAAACAGTGACCTTCTTGAACACCTTTCATAAGAAGGGGATCCTTGTGATGGACTGATACCTGTTGCAGCCATGGAGTTTTAAAACTGAAAAAAACATGGCTTTAAAACTGATTTCACCCAAGGGGGTTGTTCCCCCTTCATATTGTGGGGTTTGGTAACTCATGGACCCAGGTGGTCAGCCCCGGTGTGCTAGATGTCCCAAGCTAACAAGGAGCAAGGACTGAGCAGGCTTGTAATAGGCTGCAGTCTCTCAAGCCCTCATCTTGGTCAGATGCTTAGGGCAGAATAACTGCAGTTCATGCTTTCAGTGGAGACTCAGAAACTCTCCAGGCACATCCAAAGACTGAAATACTGAATCAGTAGAGTCTCAGGTCTACCAGAAATGTGTAAATGCATGTAAAATATTACTGCTTTTGGTCCCAGAATCCGGACCATAATTACATAATTGGAATTAAGGATGTCTATGCTATGTGGTATAAACTGGGGGAAATGGCAGCACATCCGGGATGGGTTGGTTTTCCAAGGAGCATGTTAGTGGGTTTGGGGGAAGTTGTATGCCAGCTCCTTCCCCCACAGTTGAAATTCCAGATGCGGGACTAGAAAGCAGAGCTGAACTGATGTGGAACCAGACCTTCCTAGGTCAAGGGACCATGTTGTTAGCAAGTGGTGAAGGGAGAAGGGATGAGCCATTTCTTTTGTTTGCCCTTCCCCAGATAATGGAGATCTACAGCCTGGGCGGAGTGCAGCCCCTCACCCAGCTGGATGGTGTTCTGCGAGAGTTCCTGGCTGAACTGAACGAGATCCCTCTCCCGGCTCACTGGGAGGTGCTGCCCCCGCTGGGTGGCCCTGACCTGCGCCTCGTGCAGCACTCCAAACACTCCACCATGTCGGCGGCAGTCATCCACATTCGCCCGGGCCTTTTCTTCCACGTGGTGGTGCGAGATCTGCCTGTGCCCCCCGAACACGAACTCTACACCAGCCACCCTGCCCGCCTCACCACAGTGGATGAGGTGGTGGAACTCATCTGTGATCTGGAAGCCTACCGGCTGTGCTCTGGCTGGCCTGCAGGCTGGCACGCTGGCGAACGGTCCGAGGCCTGCAATGTCCTTGTGTACTCAGGCTGCTGCCAGCAGTGCCAGCTCAACCCCTGGCCATCAGGAAGTGGGACCCATTGAGGACCAAGCTGGGCAGTGGGATTTGGGGACAGGACTCAGCCCTGTGGGGCAGCAAATAGGCAGAAGTTTTATTTTGACACTGGAAATGGCTTGGATATCTAAAAGGATCATTCCTTGCCGTAAATAGCTTTATATCTCCCCCCCCCCCCCCCCCCGCATTCAATAGCTTGGCACAAAAATTCATATTCCTCTTGTTACAGTCTTCTGTGTCTTGTCTGTCTGTCTCTCTCCTGGTAAGCTACTTCTGCCTTCCTGGCATAGAGAGAAATGTTTTGTTCAAGGTCTTGCTTCTGTTCACTTGCCTTCTGCCAGAGAGTTGCAGCGTGGCTGGTAGCACATTGCAGCAGCTTGTGCTGATTGCTAGTTCCCTTTTTAATATCCCTACACGCTTTGCAGAGTAGCACTATATGTTGTTAAGATGGGAGTGTGGAGACAGTTTATGCAACATTTTGGCCTTGCTTGACTCCACAGGAAAGATAGGATTTAAGAGTAGGATTCCCTTCTTAGAAGAGTCCGGCTGATTGCAGCCTGCCACTTTGTTCCCCCAGATGCATCTGAAAATGAAATGATCATCTTGGGCATGTTTTTAATTGCTTCAAGGTTACTCTGGGTGATGAATTCTATTTTGAGGACCAGGGAGATGTTTTGTTTGGGGAACAGGGAGGATGGCACAGATAGATGCTGAGAGATTCCAGCGTGTCCCGTTCAGGGAAGTTCTACAGAAGCCATAGCTGTATGTCACTTGCTAACCTGTGGTTTTGTTTTGCGTCTTCAGCGTGGGTGGTGGTGGCAGCAGCAACAGCAAACATCCCTGGGCCTTTCCCACATGCCTCTTGCAGTCAGTTGTGTGTGTGCATGTGTGCGTGTGTGTGCGCGCGTGTGCGAACATCTTTTCTCTTGGAAAAAAGAGTGAAAGAATCCTAAATGAATGATCAAATCAGAACTGGTCTCTATTTTTTTTAACGTATTAAAAATTTTAATGAGCAAGCTTGGTTTTGGTGTCTGTGTCTCTTTTGACGTTAGTCTTTTGACCAGTTGATGTGAATTACCAAAAAGCAGAACAGTCAGTGAAATTGTGGGATGCGCCAATTGCTCCTCCTCCAACCTGCTACTTTCCCTGTCCTACCATTAAGAGAAAACTTTAGTTTTGCAGAAGCTGGCTTCCATGTGATTGCCCATATTCTGTCCTTGGGAATATGTTCCCAGAGGGATGTGTCACATTGGGCACAACTGTAACTTCTCCCAAGACAAGAGCACAGAGTTTTTTCAGTCCGAGAGCCAAATTCCCTATCAGAGAAGTCTTCTGGGGTTGCATTCCAGTCAGTGGTGGACCAGTCTGAAGGCAAAAGGGGGAAGGCCAAGCATAGCAGAGCCTAAAGCTCTTTCTGCTGGTCACCTCAGGCTTGAAAACATGTGAATAATTGTGTGGTGCTTTTGAAATCCTACAGAATCTGGCATTCAAGAAGTCACAAGCCTATGCATGTTTAGGGAGAAGAAAATGCAGCAACTCTCAGTATTTTCAATTAAAAGAAAGCTAGCACATGTATGTTTATTCATACTAAGAAGTGCCCACTAGAGGGAAGCAGTATAATGAATGTTCAGCACTTCAGTATTAGTTTAATTCTTGAGGATCTTTGCATGTGGGTGAAATATGGGTATGGCATCTTTGTATACTGGTGGGATCAAGAATGAAATTTCACAAAATATTTTGGGGTAATTTGTGCAGCGGATCCCATGAAATTTTAGCCTTTGGCATGCCAACTTTTCATGATGACTTTAATCCACATAAAACACATATTTACTACATACTATATCCACATACTTGCAAAAGACATAGATGCTTAGAATTAAATTGGGCCCAGGATTTAGTTGGTAATTTTGTTGCCACTATTATTAAACAATTGTAAGTCAACTCTTCAGTCTGTCAGATCTATCTTTTGGCTACTTCTGCTGCAGGAGGCAGTCAATGTTAAGGAGGCACATGATAGTCTATGCAAGTAGCAGCCTTCTCTGCATTGTTCTGTACTGTGAAGGAACTGTTTTCATGCATGATTTTAACTTGAATTGCATTAGCAATGCTATATACTTCACAGTATGCCACAAATAGAACAGGAATCTAGGTTTCTGGGTAAGGTTTGTCCATAAAATTGGTATGTGTCTGTAACCTTGTTCATATTCCTGTCCTATAATATCATCACAGGTATTAATTTCAGCCCTAGGTAGGGGAAAAACCAAATAGCTCTGCTCAAAGACTGATTTACAAGGTACAGAAATTCCAACTGCTGAGATCCTAAAGAGTAATTTATATCTTAGGCTTATTGTCTGTCAGAACCCAGGACACCAGGAGGTTCTGAGCAAAGTGGTGTGGTTATTTGCAGCTGGGAGAATAGCCACCTTGCGACTGGGAGTTTAGCATCACCCCACAGATCAGTCAAGAAGGAGGGGGGAATAAAGGAACCAAGGTTGGGGAGGGTGGTGTTTTTGTCCTCCCCGCTGAGTTGCCTGTCCATGGCGAAGAAGACCTGATACTTCCTGGGCAAGACTGGGACTTGGGTACAGCAGTTCCTTTGTAGAGAAATAGCAGCATAGTACTCACTTTCTCATTTTCTCTGACCTGCAGAGCAACATGTTTTGGTGGGCATAGGGAGTGAACCCAGCTTTGTGTTTGTCATATAACAACTTGCTTCTATCTACTTTTCCTTGTCCCTTTTCCTTTTTTGTGAAACTCCAGCCCTTCTCTTTTCACTCCTGTTTGGATCCTTTCATAAATGTCTTTGATCCCCTTGAAGAGTGCTTCAGTGAGTCACATGCTAATTCTAGTGCCTTGGCCATAGGAGTGCACAGGAGTTGAGAAGAAAGCCCCAAGGGTTAAAAGAGGTTCCCCTCCAGTTTAACACAAAAAATAAAATACCAATTTCCACATAAAAGAAGTTTACATGTTTATTTCAGGCTTATTACTGTTTAGTACTAATATTTGTTCAGTAATGGATTTCAATTTTTTTTTCAGAGATAATAGCTTACATTTTAAACAACATACGTGCATGTACATTCATTTAAAATTATGTACGATAATTGGATTTCATAATACATTGTGAACATGCTTGTCACTTCTTTTGTGGTTATCTGTTTCTATTGGGACCATTCTCTTTTGAAGTGGAGAATATTCATCGGAGAACAGTGTTCAAAAATGTAAAACTCATTTATTTCCAAATGTGTGGATGTGAGAGGATGGATTCATTGTCAATAAATGCAGTAGGTATCATCCCAGCATGTCCATGGCAAGTTAGATGCATTCAACTGAAAATTGTCAATTTGGTAATCAAATCAAATCCTGCTTTACCATTCATCTTCTGAATGCTCCTTGAGAAGAACAGTAGAGTTTGAAGGACCACCAGCAGGGAGAGTGGAGTTCATGGGACCAGTGGTTGGAAGGCTGGAGTTTGCGGACTCCTTGATTGGTGAAGCAGAATTTGGAGGAGCATTGATAGGGTGGGTAGAGTTTGGGGGTTCATTGAAAAAGACAGTGGATTTGGTGAGACCATTTTCTGCTAGGGTAGAGTTTAGGAGCTCCTTGATCGTGACAGGAGGTGCTGGAGGACCCTTGGTGGGGAGGGTGGTGTTTGCTTGCGCCTTCAATGGATTTGTAGGTTCTAGAGGACCCTTGGTGAGAAAAGTGGTACCTGTAAGATTTCTTGCTGAAAGTGTAGTGTTGGGCCTGTGGTCAGCAGCAGCAGTTGTTACTGGTGCCGGCTGGCCGTAGGTGAGGGTGACTTCAGGCTCACACTCTTCGACATACTGCCTTAGATCTTGTCCTCTGCAATGTTGCCTCCAGGCTCTCCTGTAATGAGAAAACCTTGGTCACAATATTACTGGCCATTCAACTCAATAAATCCTTAGCTGGGAAGACAAAAAGCTCTGTCATGCCCTATTTTAGAATAGAGAGGCCTGAAGTATCTGCCAGCACAGCGTGTAATATGTATTACATCCACGTAATGTTCAAGCTATATGGTCAAGATCAGTGCCCTGCCTGCCTGAACTACCCCCAAGCAACACCCTCCCTACCCAATTCTGTTCCATGATTTTTTGGGAGGAACAGGAGCTGTGAGTCTCCTTCCTTTAAAAGCTCTAGTTCTTTGCACCAATGAGCTATAAGCTTAATAGATGTAACCCCCCCCAAAAAGGAAACTTAAAGGACTGATTCACTTGCTTGCAGCACCCTTCTGGCTTCTCTGCTTCTGAATTGCATTTAGGTATGACACAAGATCACATTTTCAACACAGTGGATATGGAATTCACCAGCATGTGCCCCTGCAGAAGCCAATGCATTTTGCAGAAAGAGAGTGACGGAAGGGGCTTGAATGCAGCTCAGTGCCTCATCTCAGTTGTTTCGAGGCTGGTTGTAGGTATGTTGTTAGAGGGAAGCCCTTTGAACAGCAATCTGGGAAGCCTAGCTAGAGGCAGCATGGAGCTTCCAGCCTTCATCTAGATGCTTTGGATTCACTGACCCCATCCAGAATGGCCCATGACCATGAATTCTGGGAGTTGCAGTGCAAACCATTGAAAGGTTGACATGCTGGGGAAACTAGGCTCTGGCAGTGGTGTACTCTTGGAACCATAGGTTCTTTGTAGTCCATGCCACTGCTAGGCTGCAGGGTCCTGACAAAACCAAGGATGCTTCTGACACATGGCCCTATCTCCTACTTGGGTCTAGTGGTTAGACTATTGGATGGGGACTTGGGAGACCTGGGTTTTAGTCCCCACTTGGCCATGAAGCTCTCTGGGGGCCTTTAGGTCAATCACTGACTCAGCCTCACCTACTTCACAGGGTTGTTGTGTGGATGAAATGGGAAGGAGAAGGCTAGTCCCCTGAGCCACTGTGAGTCCTTTGCAGAAAGAAAAACAGTGTGATGTAAATGTCAATAAATAACAAGGACCCTCCTTCAGTCTCAGTGGAGAGGCCAGGCTATTTCTGATGACAGAGATGGAAGATTCCCTTCCCCGCATTCCCTGTGCATGCCAGAGGATGCCTGGAGCAGGGCTTGGGCGCAGTGATACACAATGACCTGCTGCAGAGGCAAGCCACGGTTTGTGGCCTTGCATAGAAAGAGAACTACCAACCTGCAAGGAGTTCTCTGCAGTTGCTTTCCGTTTCCTCCCGCTCCCCATGCAGCATATATGAAGTGGCATAAACGGGGGAAAACATGATTTGCTTACCATGCGGCAAAGCCGTTGCTTTCTTGTATCACTTGCTTTGCGCATTCAATGTCATCTGTAATGTTGTCATCTTGGAGCGCTAGAACAGAGACAAGACGGAGTGAGGAGGCAGGACAGTCAGAAAGGGAGGTCCTACGAACAGGCTGCCAGGAGGTATTTATCTCAGAGAACGTGGTAAGGGTTGCAGGAAGGAAGACTAAAAGAGGCACATAGCATTATGGGGTTGCAGCAATGAGAGGGTGCTCTCCTTGATAAGAGGGTCTTGAAGAACAATAACCATCAGGCAGGAGATGCAGTCCACTTCCTTCAGGATCCAAAGGGCTTGCAGGAGATCCAGTCGGTGCTCTTCTTCCATCTGACCTTTCCTTACAGAACCATTTGGACTCTTGATGAAAAGCTTCATTTGTCCAGTTGTTTGCTATATTCATGTTTTATTTATTTGTACCATTTATATCCCATTCGTACCATTTTTTTCCTACAACAAGCTCCAAGTGGCTTACATCATTCTCCTCCTGCTCTCAGTCTGAACCCCATAACAACAACCCTGTGGGGTAGGTTCTGCTTGTTTACTTTTTCTCCTGCATGGTGTACAGGTCACGTATTTATTGTGATCAATTAATCAGCATATAGAAAAGCAAATGAACAGGAGTCAAAAGGATTATTAAACTGAAAACAAATAGTAGCTCAAATCACCCTTAGGTTAGAGCCTGGCAGATTTAATCATTGCAGCATAAATTTTAGTAGCTTTAAGAGCGTCGTGCCCTTTACATCAG